AGCGAGGCCTGTTGGCAGTGCTGCGCTCGCGTCCGCTAACACGAAATATGCTTCGCCTGCGTAGTAAAACAAATTTACCTGTAGCCAGTGAGTGTTTGATCCTTATTGGTCTTGATCTCTACACCGGCAAATTTGCATCCATCGACAGAAAGACCCCTCGTGAAATCCAATAACCTCACTTCGATTTCTGTTCCGGCAGGAGACTATAAAATCATGTATACCATTATCACAATGAGACATGCACTAAGCACCTGTTCTTGCAAGGCAACAACGAGTCACAGCATTCAAAAAACACACATTTGAGCATTTTTAACACATTCGAACTTGGTATTCAATTCAGAGAGAGCCACAAGTATTTTGTAAAAGTGTGAAACATACTTCAATCCAGTAATTACATGTCTCGAAGTCCTCTCGTTCTTCATCATCATCCTTGCCAAGGGTATCTTGTAAGGTCTTCCAATCGGACGAAGCTTGAATTGCACTGCCACACCCTGATGGCTGGAAAGGCTTCTTTGCTTCATTTTGTATCATTTATATTCAAGTGTTTGCTCACTCTTTCGGTGCATCGAGCTCCGGCGTATCCACCAGGACAGATACATTTGCTGCAGTCTCGGGGATGAGGGAATCCGCCCATTTCGCATTTAGCCGACTTAGCTGGATTGCAGTTCTCTGAATAATGTAAGTAAGGAAAGAAGATTAACAGTTGTCGAAAAGATACGATTGACGGACGCCTTTGCGATGTTGCAAAAATTGTATGCCAAACCTTTGCATTTGTAGTGTTCATTAATCATGGAAAGTTCAATGAAAGAAATGAATGGAGAGCCAAGGGTTTGCTGATAGTCCACATCAAACGGCACCATTGTTGGCTTATTATTGTACGATGCACTAAATTATTCAATGAATAGCTATGTTACGTTATCATCTGGTGTTGTGTATATTGATACCCACACTTACAGTCCATATCTTCAAGTCTGTTAGGCGGGTCCATGGACTTGACGTAGCAGCCGCCGCACTGGGTAGAATTTGCGCGGATAAGCTGCTTCCAGCATGCTTCGCTGATATCCAGCGAGTATGTTAGAAACAGCTTATCCACACGACTTCTACCAAGTACGGCAGCCGCTACGTCAGATCTATGGACACGTCTAGTCAGACTTCAAGATATCTACTGTACACGAAAACATTCACGGTATTATTAATGACTCAAACATCATATCTATGAGCTAAAGCATGGTTTTTTCTTTCATCCTTCTTGTGAACATACCTGGTTCCGCCGTAATGCATAATGCTACCGTAGTCGTACGTCATGCCATAATTGTCATTTCTCTTCGTTGTTTCTTTATTAAATTGACTCAGCCAGTGCACCTGAAATCGTTATCATTATTTCCTTTGTCACTGTTTCGCGTGGTTTCTTAATATTGCAGTCTGGTAGGTGGTATAATATGACGCGCTGCAGATAGAAAAAAGCGGCTCAGCATCTATGCGTTCAACTGCAGCTTGAACGCACAAATGCTGAAGGGAGAAAGCGCTTAATGCTATTTCTCAAATCAGCACTACATGAACTGAAATCAGGTACGTACATCAACATTGTGCATGTTTACGGTGATGAATTCATCGCGATCGTGACGGGACATAGTATGGAAGAATCCAATTGCGTGACCGATCTCATGCGCAGCAATGGATACCGAATGACAACCTCCTCCCAACGAAATCTTTTGTTCGCCACCGATTTTTCCTATATTTGACCAACATCCTTTCTGTGGGAATACCATAATTCGGTCTTCGGCTAGAACAGAAAACTTTCAGATATTATTCTGAAGACAGAAATGACATTTGTGAAATACAGGTATTGCGTTCTTCAACTTGCTCTTCCGTTTGCTTAATTACACCACGATATGTCCATTTCCACGTCCCCAAATTCTTACAAAATTTTTTGAATCAGTTATTTCTTTGAAGCAGATGAGAGGGCAAGCGGAGTGTAACGCAATTATGAACGTAATGCGGACATTGAATTAGAATTATCTCCTACCAGAACGGTTCTCCGTGAAATTGATACACGTGTCCTTTTCCCACCATTTCGCTCCTTTTACGAATACGCTTTTCATCTGCTTACCTGCAATGCTCACACAGTTTTTGTTCTGTTCTAACCTGCTTGATAAATAGTAGTAACATGCATACTGGCCATATCATGGAAGTAGTAGTTGACTCCTTGCGACCACAACGTTTTGGGATATTTATGATCCTTGAATGCTTGACGTTTTGTACGGTTTCCACCGGCGACCTGATCTTCTATGTCCTCAACGATCTCATCGGCTTGCTCCCTTACAACAGTGCTAGTTCAGAGCTTATTCTCACAATAGCTTCTTTAAACGTACTCTGTTAAAAGCATGTCGCCTTGGTAGAGGTATTGGTCGACCTGACTATTTTTATTGACGTCTGTAATAGTGTCTCCCATCTCGTGTAATTTATCGTTCTTGAAAGGTCGCAGTTTCTGCAAAATTGGATTAATGACCTATGGTTTTCTTGTTGATCACTACATCGAGAACTTCACAGAAAACTTCAAGTAATACATTTGGGCATGCTCAAAGCGTATGACTGATGTTCCTCTGCTTCTGGAGGTACGTAAGTGAGCAATCGAAGTAACCTTTAATCTCTCTTGCAGTGACTTCATCATCGCTGGTGATAGTTCCAGGGTCTTCAACACTTTTTCCTTCATGCTCCTGATCTTATCATTGATTCTGAAGAGTGCCGTGTTTTCGAAGAGCTGCAAACATGTGATTAGTATTTGGTGCCGCCATGGTTTGAAATTCTAAATCCACAAAAATGTGAAGGTACAATTTTGAAATAGAACGTGATTTGAGAACAAATGGATCAAAAATAGTGGGAAACCTTTTTGAAGCTAACAATAGTTGCATTCTTCAGTTTTTGTCCGAAGCTGCCTTCTCCAGAAAACACTCCTTTCACTTTGTCAAGTACGCCTCCGTTAACGGCAAGAACCAAGAGTAACGTGAGCAATATCAGCCTCATTCTGAAATGAGAAATAACTCTATTCCCTGATATGTCTGATGCATAACAGGACGCTACGATTTTCACAGCATCGGGCGTGCACCATTTGAAATTTTCATTTGATCAAAATTTCTATCAATTTAGAAGGTTCTCAGGAGATTTTGATTCGTGCTAAGAGAGGCATACGCTTCGTTTGTCTCTTCCCTTCTCCGGGAAATTTTTGAGGTGAGAGCGAGTTCTCAATAACATCTAATTTGATAGCCAATATCTGAGAAATAGGAAGTAGGATTCGAATATAAATGATTATATGAAGGTGGATAGACTCGGTCCTCCCCCTTTTTATACAAAACTCCGCGTAGTTACCATTCAGATCCGACGGCTGAAGAAACATGGTGCCCCTGACGTAGAAGCAAATCCAGAAATCGATTATCTGCGGCATGAAACGTATGTTCTTCTTTTAGTGGGCAACACTCTTTGAATACTTGCCGTGGGCTGCCGTGCGCTCTAGCTAGAATTTTCAGAATTTTCTGAGCATTTTCAAGGCTCGGCTAGAAAGGAGGAGAAAACAGATAAAATAGGTACTCGAGCAATTCCGACTGTAAAAGTTACCTTTGCAACCGTAATCATATTCTCCAATTGACGGGTGCGAATAGCACAAATGTGTTGCAAATAGGGGCTGCCGTGCGCTCTAGCTAGAATTCTCGGAATTTCCTGAAACTTCTCAAAGCTCAGCAAGAGAGGAAAATGCAGAGTGAGTGACAGAAACGAATACATGACAAAGAAATAGCAGATAAGATGATCAACAAGTCAGGAAGCATTTCCTTCCCCCAAGAATTGCACCTCCTTCTACAAATGTCTTAGGAACCGCTCTCAGCTGCGGAAACAGATTACCGAGAACCTATCACATCGAAATCAACGACTATTCCCTTAAACGCCTTAGAATCTTATTATTTGATAATATTGCTAAAGTCCGTTTCCTAGCTCTTTCGGTATTGTGAAACAACGTTTCATTTTTTTGTGAAATAACGCATGATTTTTGTTTATTTTCAACATTTAGCTCGCCTTCACAGCTTATCAAATTATCGAAAAACGTAAACAGTTTCCCAATGAGTCCGTCCCGATGAATAACCATATCGTTTTCGCAGAGCACTCAAGATCAGCATTTTGCTGCATTTCGCAGTAAGCGCTGCGCTTAGGCTGTGCTCTATCATTGCACTGTTTTCCTCAATCGCTTTAGGTTATACTTCCAGGAGCGTTGAAGCAACAGCTGACATGTCCACAAATCACTTCACAGCATAGGTGTTAGAACAACTATATATTATTACATGCAGACACTTTTGCAAAGATTATTTGCAACACATTTGTGCTATTCGCACCCGTCAATTGGAGAATATGATGATTACGGTTGCAAAGGTAACTTTCACAGTCGGAATTGCTCGAGTACCTATTTTATCTGTTTTCTCCTCCTTTCTAGCCGAGCCTTGAAAATGCTCAGAAAATTCTGAAAATTCTAGCTAGAGCGCACGGCAGCCCACGGCAAGTATTCAAAGAGTGTTGCCCACTAAAAGAAGAACATACGTTTCATGCCGCAGATAATCGATTTCTGGATTTGCTTCTACGTCAGGGGCACCATGTTTCTTCAGCCGTCGGATCTGAATGGTAACTACGCGGAGTTGTGTATAAAAAGGGGGAGGACCGAGTCTATCCACCTTCATATAATCATTTATATTCGAATCCTAATTCCTATTTCTCAGATATTGGCTATCAAATTAGATGTTATTGAGAACTCGCTCTCACCTTAAAAATTTTCCGGAGAAGGAAAGAGACAAACGAAGCGTATGCCTCTCTTAGCACCAATCAAATCCTGAGAACCTTCTAAATTGATAGAATTCTGATCAAATGAAAATTTCAAATGGTGCACGCCCGATGCTGTGAAAATCGTAGCGTCCTGTTATGCATCAGACATATCAGGGAATAGAGTTATTTCTCATTTCAGAATGAGGCTGATATTGCTCACGTTACTCTTGGTTCTTGCCGTTAACGGAGGCGTACTTGACAAAGTGAAAGGAGTGTTCACTGGAGAAGGCAGTTTTGGACAAAAACTGAAGAATGCAACTATTGTTAGCTTCAAAAAGGTTTCCCACTATTTTTGATCTATTTGTTCTCAAATCACGTTCTATTTCAAAATTGTACCTTCACATTTTTGTGGATTTAGAATTTCAAACCATGGCGGCACCAAATACTAATCACATGTTTGCAGCTCTTCGAAAACACGGCACTCTTCAGAATCAATGATAAGATCAGGAGCATGAAGGAAAAAGTGTTGAAGACCCTGGAACTATCACCAGCGATGATGAAGTCACTGCAAGAGAGATTAAAGGTTACTTCGATTGCTCACTTACGTACCTCCAGAAGCAGAGGAACATCAGTCATACGCTTTGAGCATGCCCAAATGTATTACTTGAAGTTTTCTGTGAAGTTCTCGATGTAGTGATCAACAAGAAAACCATAGGTCATTAATCCAATTTTGCAGAAACTGCGACCTTTCAAGAACGATAAAGTACACGAGATGGGAGACACTATTACAGACGTCAATAAAAATAGTCAGGTCGACCAATACCTCTACCAAGGCGACATGCTTTTAACAGAGTACGTTTAAAGAAGCTATTGTGAGAATAAGCTCTGAAAAAAAAAAAAAAAAAAAAAAAAAAAAAAAAAAAAAAAAAAAAAAAAAAAAAAAAAAAAAAAAAAAAAAAAAAAAAAAAAAAAAAAAAAAAAAAAAAAAAAAAAAAAAACCAATGTTTAAAGGCGGAAAGCTAATGAGA